CCGCAGTTCAGAGGACATCCTGACTGCATGCCATTTTGATCTACTGAATCTTTAAGGACTGTGGTGCTTGTCTTCAGGGAGGATACTGAGATGTGCTTTTCGTATCATGCAATGTCTCTGTCTACTTTGGGTGCCAGGATAATTAATGTTCATGTCACAGGCTGAGTTAGGAAGCATCAACTGTGACTCAGTTTTCTTGGAAAGTTCCTGTAAAACTGTTATTGCCTCTTGCTGAAATGTTGGACAGAACTCACCAGTGAAGCCATCTGGACCTGGAGGGTTTGGGGGAAATACATGAGCAAAATTTTAATCTAATGAGTACGGGCCCAAGCTCATTTACTATAGGGCCACATTTATTTACTGCCTCTTGAGTAAACAATGACACTACATTTTTCCAAGAATTTGCTCACTTCATATAAAATTTCAAATCTGTTGGCATTAAAGGTGTCAGTGCTGTTCCCTGTATTATCTTACTTCCTATAGGCTCTTGAGTGTAATATTCCATGCTGCATTCTGATATTTTTTTCATGTTGTCTTCAATTTTCAGAAGCTAGGTATAAAAGAACAAAGTGAAGCCAGAATAATGAAAGAAAGAGCAAAGATCAGTGAAAAGAGGAAGTGGGCAAAAGGCAGTGAGTAAGGCAACTTCAGAGTCGACAAAACCAGCAACCCTGGCCCACACTAACAGCTGGTTTTTCTGATTTCAGGCCATACTTTCCTGCGTCTTCACCCAGTGAATAATTTGTGACTGGATGTTAAACTTGCTCTAACAGGCTGTTGTTGGATGCTTCTATGGAAATTCTCTCTACTACAAGCTGAGTGAGCAGAGTGCTTCCTTCAACCTACTCCCTCCCACAGGGACCACTGTCCAAGGCTCTGTGCTATCTAGTGCTTGAAGCACAGGAGTGTGCACTTTGCCTGGTTCTGGTTTCCTTGAGGCGGGCGGATAAACCAGTAACTGTTCTTTCATGTTAGCTGGACACACATATGAGCCATCACAGGGTTCTTAAACCCCCCGTAAGGAAAGGCCATAGAAGATTTTCAAGGGACCACAGGCTTGGCGCCTGTTTGGCTCACCTCTTGTTATCACACTTCACTATCTGTGAGCCATTTTACAAGTCTGTACATTTAAAGTCACAGCAGTGCACATGGCCCACGATCACAGAAAGGCCTGCTGTGAAGGATGCAGGAAGGATGCTCATGATGACTGCCCTGCTGTACATACTGGCCATCTTCACATACATTAAGCTAGCTCACTTAGGAACTGCCAAACTGAGTTATTATAGGCTCACATATTTAGATACTTGGGCCCAAGTTGGTGGATCTATTTGGGAAGAATTGTGACCTTGTTGGAGGAAGTGTGTCACTGGGAACAGGCTTTGAGGGTTCAAAAGACTTATACCATTTCATGTGTGTGTGTGTACACACAAGCGCATCTCTTACTTATGAATCACGGCGTGAGCTCTCAGCTCACAGTACCTGTCACAGTACCTTTGCTTGAAACTGTGAGCTTGACACTAAATGCTTCTTTTATAAGATGCCTTGGTTGTGGTATTTTATCACAGCAGCAGAAAAGTAACTAAGACAACCCTCATGTTTTATATTGGTAGAAATAACAGTATATCCCATTTTATTTTGTAATTATCCTTAGTACTGCCAAATTCAAACAATCTAAGAGTCCTATTAAAAGAACAATGCCTTCAAAAACTCAAAGTGTAGCATACAAGGAAATACCACAAAGCTACTGAAACAGTTCTAAGTGTTAATTTACAGAGAGGGTGCATGTCTATAATCGCTTGTGGAAGATCTAATATATTCCTCTGCAGCCACACAGACAGGCATGAATATATTAAGCTGTGTATGTCTATCAAGCTAGATGCAGAACAGAGCAGAGGAAGTATTTCTTTAAGCTTTTTGTTGTTGCTGTTCAATTTCTTTAGAATGATATTCAACTAACAAGTGCCCCTCCCCTCACACACCCCCAATGCCAGGCAGCCAGATGCTTAGGCACTCCAACACACAAGGCAAGAGGCTTCTGTCCTTGAGTGCTCAACACTAAAGTACACTGCCTTTCTCAATATCAATAAAGTTGAAGCTAATTTCTAGCTGTCCCACCTGCAAGGCAGAAAGAATCAAAATCAACACAAGACCAGCAAGGGTTCTTCCTAGTCCCTCAAGTCTCAATCTCTTTTGGAGGCTGTCCACAACTACACTCTCCCCCACCCCCCAAAAAAGAAAAGGCTCCTCCAAGGCTCACCAAGATGCATGGGTGCTGGAGAGAGCAATATGTGTCCTGTTTGTGCTGGCGCCTACCAGATGAATGAAGCTCAGATGAATGAATGATGAATGAAGGAACGAATGAGTGGGCCGAAGCACTGGCTTTGAAATGTAATTCAGGGCATACATGAAGCACTATAGCTGCACACATGTGCTGAAATATACAGGAGAGGCTTTACTTCTCATTCTCCCCAATTTTCACAACATGACCTCTTTGTTCTCACCGTACATTCAGAGCACAAGTTACAAGCTCATTCCTGCTTCCCTCCCACCGATGGTGAGGGATGGAGCCTGACCTGGACATAAGGGCCTGGCTGAACACCCAGGGGAGAGGAAGGGAAAGCATGCAACACCAGCGAGACCCCTCAGGGGTCTGTCAAGGGCCTGTCTTGGGAGGCAGGTACTGAGTAAATTAATCAGATAGACACAGTGCAAGGCAGACCTAGCTCTAATCACACAGCTCTTGTACAGGATTTCTTAGTAAGCCCCCGCAAAACCAAGTCCACGGGTGCCATCTCTATACTCTCAGGCCTAGCTCCAGATTCACAGTTATGGCTTTGTATGAGGGTACCCTGTAACATCACTGACCAGTGCTAGCCTCACGTACCCAGGCCTCACTCTCACCTGCTCTTGTTACTGCTGAGAAGGACTTTCACTCATGGCTTCCATGCTCACAGAAGAATGTTCTGGCCTCACCGTATAGGAGGCTATCACTTTATCACTTCATGCCTCCATCAGTCACCAAGGAGACTCAGAACAGGTGAGCCCGCTGGGACCCTAGCACAAGACTGCATCTCCTGCCCAACTAAATGCCTGGGGACTGGCATAGACAGCTATTTTCCACAAGCCAATCGCTATTTCTAGATAGCAAAACCAAGACTCTTCTGCAGGGGAGGCAAACTTAAGCAGCATCCTTCTTTACCACACATAATGCCAGCTACACAGAGGCCTGCAAATCTGGGACCAGATTTCCTGACACACCCTGTCTCCATGCTGTCCCCCATGCCTTTCCCTATCCCCAAACCATATCCCTCTATCAATCCATCATGCTGACACCAAAGCATGCTGGGAACTCTGCTCCCTTGTGCCTCTGGGCAATCCCAGATATGACTCTCATTGCATCAATCACTCATAGAACTGGTTCACAACCAAGGTCCATCAGCTCACTGGTTTAACCTAAGAACATGCACCACACCATCCAGGGACTATAAGAACAAGAGGCATACATGCCCACCACCTTGTGTGTATCCACACAATCACTTGAGCTCATAAAATGATCTTAAGGCCATACCACACCATCTCCACAGGACACAGACCTGGCAGCCCAGGAGATGACTCTCAGGCTCCCAGGCCCTAAACTCAACTGGCCCCTAACCATCTAAGACCACCCTCTGACAAGGCTCTCCTCTGTTTACTTACTGAGACTGTTTTCTGACAGAGGCCCCCATATTCACTTTCTACCCTTCCATGGCATGTCTCTGCCCTGCCTCTTGCTACCTCAGGTCTTCTAATCAGGACCCTACCTGCTCCTCACCACCTCAGATCTTTCAATGGCAAGGCCCTGCCCTGCCCCTCACTGTCTCAGGCCCTCCCTGGCTATCAACTCCACCCCCAAGTAAACTCAGGGCCTTTTCGTCCTTGGCTTAAATACACACCATGAACCTGCCTTAGATCCCTAACCAGAACCAAGTGTAAAATCTGGATAATGGGAGGTTCATAAATGCTAGATTCTGAGTGAATGACCCCACCTCCAAATGCCTAATAGACATATATGGTGGTCAGTAAGACAGGAGAGCTGCCAAGCATTGTATGGGATAAAAAGTAAATAAAAATAAATAAAAAAATTGGCCAGAAGACTCACCTCACTGTTCCCAGAATAACTAGCATGTACTGTGCCTCCCCTAATCCTCACCCTACCCAGCCTACACCCCCAGCAAGCTACAGAGCTACCAGCCAGTATGCACCATGGGCCGGGGCCTGCCTCTTTGCCTCCTACATGGCTTGGGCCCCACTCTTGATCTCCTCCACCCAACAAATAAACAAAGCTGTGAAACTTAAACACCACAGCCCTAGCCTAACTCTGTGAAAACCATGTGGGAACTTTTGTGTACATATACAGCATGCCTTGCTGTCCTCTGGGCTGTGGTCACTCTCCCAGTTACATTGGGTTACCCTTCTTGGCAGCTCAGCCCTTTCCATCTGCAAGGTCAACATATCATCTGTTCAGAGATCTATCATTGACCCAGAGCCAACTGTAGAGCCAGGTGGCTGACTGCTGTGCTAAATCATCCTCCTACTGGGATGAACTAGGAGACTGCTGCCTATCTATTAGAAGGAACACCCCCCATTGGCTTTCCACCTAGAACGGCGGGAGGCCCCGTGTGGTCAGGCCACCTGTATGGGTCTGTCCAGGCTTCATGCTGCAGTTAGAGGAACCTTCCTGAAAAGCATTATTTATCCTGGTACAGATGCGCAACCTGAAAGAAGCAACCCCACCAAGGTCCCTGTGTTCTCTCTGTTTCCCTCCCTCCCAGGAGGAAGCCAGAGAACAGAATTTCAATTCATTAGGGGATGGCAACAACTGCTTCCTAGGACTGACCTGCTGACAGCCATTTCTATGCTCCCCAGGGGCAAGATGTACCTGCACATAAAAACACCACAACAAAAACGATACTCACCTACCCAAGTGGCTACTCAGAAAGTGCTTGCTCAGAGGCTCTTACCTGGTAAAATTCCCGAAGCCAGTTCTTCTGCAGGTTTTCTGGCTGTAAATTAAGAAGAAAAGGGAAATTTAGAACACAGTCATAGCTCTAAATTGGGGGCAGAGGCTCCCATGAGGAAGCCTAAGGCTGCCCCACTGAAGGCAGGGGGATGTGCATGGGAACCTCCATCTATGTGGCATCCGTACTCCCCAGAGGGACACCATGTACCCACAGGTGGTACATGGGCTCTGTGGGCTGCCCCTGTAATGCACACCTGAGCAATCCTCACTTAGGCAGAGGCAGGGGCACAGCACCTGTGTCCCACTCACCCACATCCTGTCCTGTCCACAGCAGGGGTCATAGGGAAGGATGCAGGGACAGCACCATATACCTGCTTCCAAAAGGCAACATGCCACTCCACAGTACTATATGAGCATACACTGTCAGCCATCATGGGGCTGTTCTGTGAGTTGGGGTAGGAAAAGGATGTTTTGGGGAGGGATTTAGGGAACTAGTCATAATGCTCAGAACTTTCAGAAAATGGACAGATGGAAAACCCCATGCCATGTATGCACACGTGTTCTCAAACAGGAAGCAGGACCCAACAAGCCAAGTGTCGGCCATGACAAGTCCTGCTCAGGAAAGCAGGAAGGAGCTGTGGCCACACTTAAAGGTTCCTGAACCCTGAATGTTTTGTGTCAGTCAGGCACAGTGCAGTGTAGCCCAACCAAGCCCAAGCATGGGACTCAGCCAGAGCCGGGTATGAGCAAGCCTGAGATGGCCTGGGTAGGCCTTGGTTAAAAGTTGGTGTCGGGAAACAGTGTCCCATGAGCAGACCAGGAGTGTCAAACCCATTCAATAATGCCAATATACATCACACTCTGAAGTACTCTTAAAAAACTGCAACAGCTGTAAACAGTGTTATTATATCTTTGCCTGTCTGTTGGTTGGTTGATCTTTTTTGTTTGTTTGTTTGTTTGTTTGTTTGTTTTTACAAGGCCTTTCTCAAAAACTGAAACAGAAATCCCTGCTCAGCACATCCCAGATAGGTAGAACATGAACACCTTCAAGTAAAGCTCTGGGGAGCAAAGCCCAGACTGCCCAGCTATAGCCAAGCCCTAAACCACTTCCAGCATTTTGCCCACTGAAAGTCCTGAAAATCATGGAGACAAAACTGCAGAAAAAAATTAATGATGGAAAAAAGCTGGCAAAGATCAAAAGCATCACAAACCATACAAGGAGCACAAGGAGACTCCACCAGGTCTCAAACAGGTGCCTTAGAGGGACTCCCAGGTGGTTTTCATACCCCCCCCCCACACACACAAACAGAGACAGAGAGAGAGAAAGAGGCTGCCTTCCTGCCCTATCCTCACAGAAGATGGTAACAGGTACTACAAAGACAAGCCAGACTGGGGTAAGGACATTAACAGAACAGCCAAGCACAGGCAGAGAAGCTCAGCATTACTCAGAACCACTGAAGATCCTGGTTTTATGGGGCACGCTGTAATCCTAGCACTAGAAAGCAGAGGCAGGGAGGGCTGCTCCAAGTATGATAGCAGCCTGATCTATAAACTGACTTCTGGGCCTGCCAGGGCTACATAGGTAAAGCCAGTCTTAAATACATACATACATACATACATACATACATACATATATATATCTCACATAAATAAATAATCAACCCATCAAGGCAGATCATACAATGGTGAAGATGCTAGAATAGTGTTAGACAAAAGGGTAGCAAACAGAAACCGTCTACACTGATGGAGCCAGCAGTCAGGCTGGTCCTTGAAATGCTAAGTCTGGACCACGATTTAAGCAACATGTCCACTCCTCTGAATAATTTCCAGATAAGTAAAGATGCATTCCACATGGAACCTTGTGTTGACAGAAGCCAAAAAGCAGACACAGCTGAATGCCCACAATGAAAGGGCACAGGAAATGGGGCATATGCACACAGAGGAAGATCTCAGCAGGTCTGGTCCTCAGGCCTCACCAATCCTCTGGGTAGAAGCTAAGTCATGGTAGACAAGCCCTTTCCAGGCCCCTTAAGGGCAGCCCCAGTGGGTCTCTGAAGGATGAGGGTTATGGGCAGGGGAAAGGCAGGGGCAGTGGAGCCCCCAGAAGTTCTGGGTGCAAGAGCCCATTGCATGGACTTCATGGCAGCAGTCTCCAGGACAACCACTGTGCTGTGCCTTTCCAAAGCAACCACAGTTCCAGCAAGTGGAGCTTTAACACAGCGAGGGTTCCCACCTGCAGCGCCTTCTCATTCTCATCCACGCAGCTCCAGGCTCCCTGTCAACACTCCAGTGGCCTTCAGGATTAGAAGTGGGACTTAATTCATGAAACAAATGCCAATACCACTAACCAAGTCCCCAGTCTGATCACAGGCAAAGCCCAACTATGCTCTCCCAGTTTCTGCCACCTGGCCCAAGAGCCCCTACCCAGGTAAATTCTACCAAGGGGCACCATGGCCTTGCTCTGTTAAACTTCGACTTCTACTGTGCTTATAAAATGTCTCTCAGCATGGAACACTGGCACAAGGCAACCCGACACAATCCTCTCCACGCTGCTTGTCATGGGGGCCACGACCCACATAGACTCCATCTTTCCAGTACTTCTACCTCTCACAGCAATGGACACACGTGTCATGAGGTTTCAGAACCAGAGAATGGGACCCTCACAAGAGAACAAGAGGAAGAGCCAGCAGGAACTGAGCAAGGACAAGGAGGGCCCAGGTTCCAGACTCAGTACTCCTTATTTCAGTACCACCTGGGCACATTGTCATTTCTCCACTATCTCTACAGAAGAAGCTAAATGAGGAGCTGGCTGGAAGGTACCTTCCCCAGCCTGGGGCATAGAGTACTGGCCTCTCCTGTCGCTTACACACATGAGCTTTGCACTGTAACAACAGCACTGAGGGACACCTGCCTAGGAACGTAGGCTGTGATGATACCAGGTCCTTCCACAATCCTGGTGACATGTGTGTGCCTGACTCATAACCACTCACTCAGCTGGCATGGCTAGGCACTAACATGCCTAGAGACCCTCCCCGAGGCCTGAGACCCTCCTTTGTCTCCCTCCTTTGTAAATAAAAACACACTTTTCAACCTCCATGAGAACCAACTGAGCACCACAGCCTGCACCTTCCCCTGATGTCTGAATCTTAGTACCTCACTGTCCACAGAAGCCAGAGATCACAACATAGGTTCTGCCCACCCCTACATCATCTTTGTTCATCTCCTCATATGAGCACAAAACCACCAGAAAGAAAGGGAGGGGAGGCCAGTAATACCCGGCATAACCCAGATCTGCCGCCATGAAGCGCCCACAGGCTCACACCAACCAAACGTTCCCTGGTTCTGGCTCATACCAGGAAGTCCAGCTATGCAAGATCCAAACCCCACACACATCTCAGCTGCTGTGTTAATGCAGCACCTGCCTCATTTGGAAATGGATCGGAACCAGGACGATATTGCCAGAGATCCAGTTTGCATGCTGCACAGAACCTGGCAAGCCCCCTCCAAGATGGCCCTGCCAGGAGTCATGCTCAAGGCTACATGAGCATAGCCATGAAAGTATGTGCTAGCAACTCTTGAAGGGCTTTGGGACTGCAAGCCCCCCCCAATCCAGTTTTTGATTTACAGTCTTATTTAGATCATTAATTTGACTTTTTCTTACTGTCACTGTGGATCCACAAGAAGTACAAAACAGCACCAAGAGAGTGCTTTAGACAAAGGTAACCTGTTTGTTTACTGTTTGTCAGAGGCCACTCACAGCTATGGAGAAATTAGACAGCATTCTAAATAAGTGATTGAAATATTCCACAGAGAGCTGGTTCAGTAGCACATGTCTGTAATCCCAGAACTCAGGGAGGCAGAGGCAGAAGGATCTCCATGAGTTCAAGGTCAGCCTGCTCTACAAAGTGAGTCCAGGACAACCAAGGCTACACAGAACATGGAGAGGACAGGAACCCCACATGGAGATCAACAAAGCTAAAAATGTTGAGCCCAGGGCCTCCTGCAGAGACTGATGCTCCAAGGGCCATTCATGGAAAGGACCTAGACCCCTTGCTATGGTCTAGTGTCTGAGTAAGAGGAGCAGGGGTTGCCTCTGCCATGAACTTGGCTGTCTGATTTTTGATCACTTGCCCCTGGCAATGCGGTCTTGCCAGGTTACAGAGGAAGAGGATCCAGGCAGTCCTTGATCCTGATGAGACTTGATAAGCTATGGGCAGATGGTAGAAGAGAACTCCCCCTTTCAGTGGACTAGGGGAAGGGGATAGAGAGGAAGAGGAAGGGAGGGTGGGACTGGGAGGGGTTGAGGGAAGGGACTACAATCAAGACATATAATGAATAAATTGTGAAAAAAAATAAAATTAAAAATAGAAACCCAGAAAGAAAGAGAGAGAGAATACTCCACAGAGAAGGAAGGGGAGAGAGATAACTTGAAAAGAACAAGGTCAGCACCATGAGTGACAGGAAATGCCCAGCTGCCTCTGGACACATTCCTTCATACCTGGCCAGCCTCCTCTGCGTCCTTTTGAACTGCATTATCACCGCCCTGACCTCACTCACACGCTCTCACAGGCTCCGTGCTCAGTGTCATACATGCTCACACTCACACACACTCTTTCCCCCTCCCCTCAAGACAGGGTGTCTCTGTGTAGTCCTGGCTGTCCTTGAACTCACTCTGTAGACCAGGCTGGCCTCAAACTCAGATACCTGCCTGCCTGTGCCTGCCGAGTGCTGGGGTTAAAGGTGTTTTGTGCCATCACCACCAAGCCTACATGCTCACTCCAACAAGCTTTATATTTGCTTGTGCCCACACTCACCTATACCCATACTCAAGCACACACACATGTTCACTCTCAAGCTCACATTTACTCATGCTCACGCTCACTCTCACAGGCTCCACACTCACCCATGCCCACGCTCACTCTCACAGGCTCCACACTCACCCATGCCCACGCTCATGCTATCCTCACCTACTCAAATACTTGTTCTCTCATACACCACCACACACTTGCCTCTCTTGACCATCACACTCCCACAACCTTTTCC